CATCATCAGTGAGCACAACATACTCATCTGTATTATACCAAGTGGATTGTCTTCTATGTCTCGAGGATCGTATCGACTCTGGTGCTATTGGATAACTAGATTGAGGCTCTTCCTGAGCTGGTTCATCATGAGTCTCCTTGCTCTAACATAGGTTCATGATCTTCAACATCATTGTTTTCTTGTGTATTATTATCCTCAAGTCGAACTGGAGTAGGTTTGGTGTTCTTTCTGTTTTTCAATCTTAGCATCTCTGAATTTTTTATATCTTTGATTGTTTGGTCTTCAAAGAAAACAACGTCTCTACTGCGGATAACCTTCTTATTGACTGAATCTCAAAGCCGATAACCGAATTCATATTTAGATGAATGAAGGTAGATGCATTCCTTCGTCTTTACGTCAAGCTTGGCTCTCTCATCTTTGGGTATGTGAATAAATGCCCTGCACCCGAATACCTTGAGATGATTGTATGAAGCCCTTTTTCCCATCCAGACTTCTTTTGAGATATCTTCATTCAAGGGAACTGATGGTGTGAGGTTGACAATGTCAACCACTGCCATTATAGCTTCTCCCCAAAATGATTTGGGTAACTTAGCATGAGAGAGCACACATCAAACTTTTTCTTCAATAGTTCTATTCATTCTCTCAACTAGTCCATTCAATTGTGGTATATTGGGTGGAGTTTTCTCTATTATAATGACATATTTCTTGCAATATGCTTCAAAAGGATCTCTATACTCACCCCTATTGTCATATTTTACACACTTGATCTTCCGTCCGATCTCACGCTCCACTAGGGCATGAAATTCTTTGAATACGTCAAGCACTTGATCCTTTGATTTTAACAGGTTCACCCACACCTTCCTTGAATGGTCATCAATGAAGGTGACAAAGTACAATGCACCACCTATTGATCTCTCGGACATCGAACACACATCGATGTGTATGAGTTCTAGGATGTTTTTTCTCCTTGTGGGCAAAGAAAATCTTTGGAAAGCAACTGTGTGTTGTTTTCTAGCTAAACAGTTAGCACAAGGATCAAGTGGTTTACCTTTCACATCAGATAGGAGTTGTTTCCGAGCGAGCATGTGAAGACCCTTCTCACTGATGTGCCCAAGTCGTTTATGCCATATCTCCACATTTTCAGTGGTGATGTTTACCTCTCTTTTGCAGAGCTTAGCTTGCATTACGTAAAATGGCCCTTCTTTATTTGTTCTAACAATTATTAGGATTCATTTGGTGAGCTTTCACTTTCCTTCACCAAAGTAATTTATCAGACCAACATCATCTAGCTTTCCAGCAGAGATAAGATTGAGGCGCATGGCCGGAACATGCCTCACATCTTTTAAGATAAGCTTGCATCAAGTGCTTGTCGTCAAGATGATGTCTCATATCCCAACGATCTTGCTCTTGTCTTGATTTCCCATTTGCACCGTACCAAAGTCACTGTTTCGGTAGGATGAGAAGAAACTTCCATGTGGAGTAACATGGAAGAAAGCACCAGAATTGATAATCCAAGAGCTATCATCATAAGCAATGTTTAGGTTATTACCTTCATTAACGAGATATAGCAGATCTTCTTTTGATACTACGACGGTAGTACTATTCTCTTCTTGTTTCTTCGTTGGGCTGATTTGGTCTGGCTTAACATTACCGACCTTCTGGTCTCTCTTGAAGGATCGACATTCCATTTTCTTGTGGCCCATCCTTCCACAGTAGTAGCATGTAATCTTCGAGCATGACTTGGATCTACCTCGGAATTGATGCATATCTCGACTTTTGCTACGTCCAAGAGTTTCATTCCTACGCCGATTCTCAATAATATTAGCTTCGGGATGAATAAACTCACCTCGTTCAATTATCCTTGCTTCTTCACCGATGAGGCTATCACTAACAGTATCCATAGTGAGATTTCCTTCTGAAGCTGAATTACTAAGTGTAACAATGAGTGTATCTCAACTTTCCGGTAAGGAACTAAGGAGTAGAAGAGCTTGCAACTCATCATCAATTTTCATTTCGATTTTTGTTAATTAATTTACGAGCCCCTTGAAATTATTTAAGTGCTCAATCATACTTTGATCATCCTTATAGTCCAATTTCACCAACTGTCGTACTAAATTGGCTTTGTTACGAGGTGTTTTCTTTTGAATTATGGACTCAAGCTTTGTTCATAATTCATAAGCATTTGTATAAGTGGAAACATGCTCAAATAGGGTTTTATCAATGTACATACGGATCATATCAACAACCTTCCGATTTAGTAGTTCCCATTGACCATCACCATTGCCTTCTACCTTGTCTTTGTAGATGATGGGATCGTGCAAATCCTTGCAGTATAGGTGGTCCTCCATCATCACTTCCAATATGCATAGTTATTGGTTGTGAGCTTGAACATGTCTCCATCATGAGCAACGTTATCCTCCATCTTGAACTGCACGAGCTAATTATGGTTACGGATGAACCTAGGTCTGATACCACTGTTGGGAATCACGTTCTTTCCCGCTTCGTGAAGTTAAGATAGACACTTAGAGATTAAGGATAATAAAGAGAGCACAATAGTATAATTCTCCAATTTGGAGATTCTTCCACTATAGAAAAGAATAGTAGAATTACAAGGATGCGTTCACAAAATTTGACTCACACTTGGCAGCTCACTCAAGCTTGAGGATAAAGACTTCCCAAGCTATCTCTCTTCTCTGTCAAAGAAGTTATCTAACTCTCTAGTTTCTCACTCTAAAAAGTGGACTATCTTAGTGTTCTTGGATTTTGGATAGTTAGGAATGAAGTCTTTCACCCTTATTTATACTACTCTACCTCCACAATGAATGATGGAGATTACTTACATCCAAGGGTGGAGATTAATTATCTAGAATGCTACACATTTTAAGAAACTCTACACTCTTCCACTCCCTTCTATATTCTTCCATTCTCTTCCATAAGGTTCCACACATCTCTAGAATATTCCAGAGGATTCCACACTCTTCCACAAGCTTCTAGAAAATTCTACACTTCTCCAGAAAGCTCTAGAATTTTCTAGAACATCTCCAATTAAGGAGAGATCCAACAATAAATAATGTATTATAATTCTTATTTCTCTAATTCTTTTTTTCAAAAATCATATTCCACTGACTTCACCATTTACATAATTTGATTTAATTAGTCCTAATTTATAAAAAAATATAGTTGTTTTATGTTATGGAGCCCACGCTCAGGTGGCAAAATCACGACCCTTGTTCCCTGATTCACATTAGAAACATGTCAATCAGTGTAGGAAAATACTAGGGTAAACTACACGGGAGACCACCAAACTATGGTCATTAATTGATCTTGTCACCGAACTATTTTTTGTCTCAATTCGATCATCAAACTTTTTAATTGATTCAATCATACCACTCTCCGTTAAAAAAACGAACTTGCTGACATGTTCGTTAATAAAGCTGGCATAATTATATATTTGGTCCTTAATATTTACATATTCTATCAATTTAGTCATTATTTTAATTCAATTAAATAAATTTAACTATCCAATTAGAACATGACACGTGTCAATACATGATTAGAAGATTTTATTTATGAATTTTAAATTATTAAATTAATGATTTTTTATCCAATCAGATGGTGACACGTGTCACCACCCTGATTGAAATGGAAAATAAAACAACAAAGATGCAGTTGGAGAGAATCGAACATGCATCCAAGGGGGTTCAGGGTAATAAGGCGCCCAAACCATTGGGCCAAAGCTCTCCAATAGTTCTAATATACAACAATTTGTATTTAACTTCTAAAAGTTCTTTAATTATAAAAACAATGAAATAAATTATTTGTTTAAATAATTTTCGGTTTGATTAATTGTTAAAAAAATACGGCTAATAATTTTAAAATAAATTTCGGATTGATTAACGGTTAAGGAAAAAAAAAATTATTTGGGTAATAATTTTCAAATAAATTTCGATTCGATTAACGGTCAAATAATTTCGGTTCGATTAATGGTGAATGAAAAAAATCGGTTGATTTGGTTCAATTAATAATTTTCAAATAAATTTTGGTTCGATTAACGGTTAAAGAAAAATAATTTATTTTATTCGGTTAATAATTTTCAAATAAATTTGGGTTCGATTAACGGTCAAATAATTTGGGTTCGATTAATGGTTAAAGAAAAAAATCAGTTGATTTGGTTCGGTTAATAATTTTCAAATAAATTTCAGTTCGATTAAAGGTTAAAGAAAAATAATTTATTTTATTCGGTTAATAATTTTAAAATAAATTTTGGTTCGATTAACAGTTAAAGAAAAATAATTTATTTTATTCGGTTAATAATTTTTAAATAAATTTGGGTTCGATTAACGGTCAAATAATTTTGGTTCGATTAATGGTTAAAGAAAAAAAAATCGGTTAATTTGGTTCATTAATAATTTTCAAATAAATTTCGGTTCGATTAATGGTTAAAGAAAAATTAATTAATTTAAAAAAATAATTTGTTTCATTGTTTTTATCATTAATGAACTTTTAGAAGTTAAATACAAATTGTTGTAAGTTTGAACATTGGAGAGCTTTGGCCCAATGGTTTGGGCGCTTTGTTACCCTTCACCCTCTTGGACGCAGGTTCGATTCTCCCCAACTGCATCTTTGTTGTTCTATTTTCCATTTCAATCAGGTATAAAATCACTTGATTAAATAATATAAAATTCATAAATAAAACTTTCAAATCATGTGTTGACTATGTTCTAATTGGATAGTTAAATTTATTTAATTGAATTAAAATAGTGACTAAATTGATAGAATATATAAATATTAATGACCAAATATATAATTATGTCAGTTTTATTAACAGACACGTCAACAAGTCTGTTTTTTTAACGTAGAGTGGTCTGATTGAATGAATTAAAAAGTTTAGTGATCGAATTGAGACAAAAAATAATTTGGTGGCAAGATCGATTAATGACTATAGTTTGGTGTCCACCCGTGTAGTTTACCAAAATACTAAAACTTCGCATTTAATTATTAAAATATTTGTTAAGGTCAGCAGACGGCAGCAGATCCATTCTACCTCTTAGACTTATACTTCCGCTGCATCGTTAGACTTTTATTAGTCGCTATTTTCTGAACTTCCCCTCAAAGATTTCATTGATCAGGTTCGTTTTCACGATCTTTGCCTTAACTCTCTGTTATTGCAAAATGGGTAGCTCTTAAATTTTGCTTTAATGTTTATTAATTTGTTGTTCACCCTATGTTTGTTGGTGAACTCGTTTTGTTGTTCCATCTTTTGCAGATCCGTGCTTCGGGTTTCATTTCTCATTTCTTAACTGAAAGAAGCCATGGATTTTAGCAATTTAAATCGTCCGCAGATTACTCTGATGGGATCCGCGTTTTGTGCGGTGCTTTCATTGCATTTCACCCTGCAGCTTGTGTCACAGCATCTTTTTTACTGGAAAAACCCAAAGGAGCAGAAAGCTATACTAATCATTATCCTTATGGCCCCTATTTATGCTGCTGTCTCCTTCGTGAGTTTATTGGATATTAAAGGAAGCAAAGCGTTCTTCATGTTTCTGGAATCAGTCAAGGAATGTTATGAGGCTTTAGTGAGTGCCCCTTTTGCTCAATCTTTGGATTTTGCTTTGTTGCATTTATTTGTGTTAAATCTCATTCACTTCTTCTTTTTGATGTTTTTTGGTTCTAGGTGATTGCGAAGTTCATGGCTTTGATGTATAGTTATTTGAATATATCAATTAGCAAAAATATTGTACCTGATGAAATCAAAGGAAGAGAGATTCACCATTCGTTTCCAATGACCCTTTTTCAGGTATGGGATTTTAAAATAATATTTCACTTGAATAAGTTAGTATTTACACTATTAATTATATCTTTTGATACATTGCGGCTGCACAAACTACAGCCTCGAACAGTTAGGCTTAACCACAATACACTAAAGCTTCTCAAGTATTGGACATGGCAATTTGTTGTCATCCGCCCGGTGTGTTCAGTCTTGATGATAACACTGCAACTTCTACGGTTTTATCCTTCTTGGTTGAGCTGGACATTCACAATCATCCTCAATGTGTCTGTTTCATTAGCGTTATATTCTTTGGTAGCCTTTTACCATGTCTTTGCAAAAGAGTTGGAACCTCACAAGCCACTTGCAAAGTTCATGTGCATCAAGGGAATTGTTTTCTTCTGCTTTTGGCAGGTAAAAAATCCTCCTTCGTTCTTTAGGTTTTTTTGGAGCACTCATTAGTTTATACTAAATAGAAGCATGAAAGAATAGCCATTTGTCTTCTCTAAACCCCTGAGGATAAACATTGATGGCCCAGAGTAAAACTAACCAAGCCTATTACATAGGCTCTTAACTCGTGTAAAGGTTGGCTAACACATACTCACTTCCATAATTTGTAACTAGAGAATCATTGTGTCCCTTTCAAGTAAACCTTGCTTTCTCTGGTGTTGGAAGATATCTTATGATTGAGCCTAATCTAGGTAACGGAACATACAATTAAATGCTTGTTCTGAACAGAAAATCAGATTGAAACTCATCAAAGAATAGTATACCATGAAAACTTAGCAAAACATATAGCTTCTTATGAATATTCTTCCCTCGTCTGGCTGGATATCTTTTGTTTCTTCCTTCTAAGAAGTTTGCAGGATTACTGGTTCAGAGTATAACTTTCTGTGTTGAGCACTATGAATTAATCAATTATTTGCTGCTAATGTGGAGGCTTTGATCGTTTTGTTGTACTAGATATGTATACCAACCAAGATATAAATGTCAAATTCTTAACATTACAATTGCGTTATAAGCTGCGGCTAGATCATCCAGTGCTATCAACTCAAAGTTTCCTTGCCCTTATTGGCGAGAGTTTGTGGTTGAACTATATTATTCTGCTCTTATAGTATATTAATGGCATTAATTGACTGCATGTAGGGAGTGGTGCTTGACATACTTGTTGCGGTGGGCTTCATAAAATCCCATCATTTCTGGTTGGACGTGGAGCACCTTGAGGAAGCTCTTCAAAACGTATTGGTGTGTCTAGAGATGGTTGTATTCGCAGTTCTCCAGCAGTATGCATACCATGTTTACCCATATAGTGGAGATGTTGAAGCTAAGCTGAAGCTGGGAAAGAAAAATGAATGATTTTTTTCTTCTGTCGGATTAGAACATAATTTTCATGAATGCTTATAATCTGTTTTGTAATCGCCTTTGTATATCAATTCAAACATAGATATTATTGAAGTAAGCAAGATTTTCACGATACTAACTACGTGAGAACATTAAGTAATATTTTGTAATATATGCATATTAAACAAATCTGATGATACAAAGAATCCTCCTAATTGAAAATGCAGGTAACCTTAAAAATAGCTCGTGTAATGAGTTTGTGAAGGTTGGATTACAGAATACTGTATATGCTATTCGATTAACTCGGTGCAAGCAGACATACATGAACACTGGACAGAGATGTGGAAGCATGATCTGCGGATCGATGCACAACAACTAAGCTTCACAAGCACTTTGTTCAAATGCATTTCTAGCAAGTAATCACTCCCCATGTACGGTGTACCCCCCATTCCTTAAGTACTCGTCACTAATTTGGTTGCACTTGCAGCTTGCACGCCTCGAGGCAAGTAGTTCCACCAACCATTGGCATGAAAATTAGCATAAGTGGTCGTCCTATCTCAGCGTCTCCGATTCCTTCAATGACTACAACTCAATAGGAAAAATTGCAATGTGTTTAATTCTCTCTCCTCTCAAAAGTTTAGGTTATAATACGATGTGCTTGTACCTATACGTGTATATACTACACATCAGTATGTTAGAACAAAACTAAAGTCAGAACACTTTTTGTTTGGCTAACTTTTGCCTTAAGCTACCAACCTGGAGAAAACGCAAAGCTGATTATTCCTGCTAAGCTTAAATTTCAAAGGGGATGAACATTTAGGCAACCTAACATGAACATTAAGAAATATTAAAATCATAGTTAAAGAACAACTAATCCATCCGTATGAACCACTTTACTAACCAAACTGTTGATATAATTGGAAAATGTAAACCGGGTAGATTTCCCAAAGTTGTTAGATAAAGATCATAAAATGTTTGAAAAGATAAAAGATGCCAGTTTGGTCTTCAATAAACCTTCCTATATTAAAAGTTAATAAATATTTGATTAAACACGTACATGTATATATATACACGTATACAGCTGTCGTTGGATGGTTAGATAAATATGGTTTACCATACAAATAGTCCAACTTGATGAGGTAAATGCAAGTCAAGAAAACAAACCTCGGACATGTTCCAATGAAGGAATGAAACATGTCATCCATCGAACCAAAGGACGGCGCCTAAAGAACAGTTATGCTTATGGACTTTAGACTTGAAAAATTGCTTCATATTTTATTTCTGCCATTTCTTGTTCTTGACCATTAATTAGCTCGAGTTGCCATTGAAATAAAACATTCTACGGTTAAGTTCACTACTGTCTCTGCACGAACCAACCAATCAGATCCCATCACTGTCCATAACTTCAACCGTTAAAAAGGTTTACCAGAATTACAGATAAAAAGCCGCATGAATCAAAGATGTAAACAATTTCCAGGATGTTTCTTCGATATTTGGGGTTCGGCCAAACCCTACGTACGTCTCTACCTCAACTATATGAGTTGTCCCACAAATCCCTTTCGATGTTATATGCGTTTATGCTGTGTTTCCAGTCAAATTCAATGCACTTTTTTGGGCCAAATAAAAGAAGATAACTTGAAATAATCAACATCTCCTTCGGAGATCACGACACAGCGGTGGTTAGCTTAAATGAGAAACGTTAACTTCCGATATTAGTTTTATCAACTTCGTGGGACATATATGTTATATCAGTTTTATGATATTATATATATCCATAATAATATATATTTTTCAATATTATACATCCAAAACATTATCTTAAAAACCCACCAACCCAACCATACACAATTTTAATATGCTTACTTTTGAGACTAATTTCAATTTTCTTTTTACCTAGGACGTTTCCAGAGTCGGTTGTTTGCTTTTCTTTTCTTTTTCTTTTTATTCTCCAAAGAATATTTAATAAGCAAAGAAAGAAAGCAACATCTGGTCACTAGAATCAATGGTGTATTTTTTTTAGAGTTGTTTTATTTTATATATCTCAAAATTCTAAATTTAAACATTTAAATGCATTTGAACAAAGCATTAGTTAAAGTATAATCTTAGGATGCTTCTCCGAATTATCATTAGTTTCCAGTGTGTTTATGTTATTGGTTACAACTGGATTCAGTTCATAGGATGGACTAGTTAAAGTATATTTTATACTAAACTGTAGGATGTTTATGTGCAGAGGAAGAGATTCTTTTATGAACAAAGCATTACGAACCAACCAATTGAGAAAAATAAAAAAAATAATAAAACTATCTAACTAATACCATTATTTCTTTGTGATGCATACGCAAACCACATGTGCAGCATACATTTTTTATCCCAAAAATATAATAGTCAAAATATTCTTTCTTTGGTGACGTCCGTAATTTTCTGATTCAAATCTCATTCGTGCACTATTTCTTCTTCTTGAAAATTACCATGCACTTTCTTCTTCTGCATTCATCTATAGACTTTGATTACTGGAGTAAACTCTATCTTATCCATTGCAACTTGGACCGACACTTTCGTCCCCTTCCCCGACACACGTTTTAACCGAAAGGGATGGTTTTTTTTTTCTGCCTTCCAAATCTTTAGGGATTGCATTAATTTAGAAATATATATTTATATTGTTTTATATTTATATATTAGTGTATGAGTTTATAACTTAATGAACCATATCTTAATACATCGTTAAAATTTCTTGAAATTCTGGATAAATCATACCGTCATTCATTAAATTTTAGATTTTATATTAATTTAATATTGAATTTTAAAATAATTCAATGTAAATACTGAATTTTAATTTGGAGTTTAATTAAAATATTGCACTGTTACAAGTGACTTTATTGGTTAAGGAATTATTGTTATTTATTGAGTTCTCAGGTTTGAGCATTGCATATGCAAGAGTGTATGAATGTTCATTGTTAAATGGTTGAGTCTTTGAACATATATTACATTGTATTCATTCTTTTTAAATATTGGATCTTTTGTTATTTAAATCGTGTATCTCCGTCACTTGTAGTAATTTATCATTCAATGAATGACTGAAAATGATTCACATATTCAATTATAATCTTTCCTTACTTTCTATATAAGCAAATTAAGCATGCAAAGTCGTATTTACTTTATTCTTTCTACTCATCAGTTCCAGTCATTTCTTTTTTCAGTTTTTAGTAAAAGTAAATAGCAGAATCCTGGATAGGGAACTATACTAGTGAGCTACCTAATTTTATTGTAGAAATTTTCAAGATCAATGATTGGACCAGGCAAACTAGAAATACTTTTTCTTGGATAAAGAAGGAGATTACTCGATCCATTTCCGTATCGCTCATGATCTATATAGTAACCGGTGCATCCATTTCAAATGCATATCCCATTTTTGCACAGCAGGGTATGAAAATCTCAAAAAAAAATATTAAAATGTTAAATTTGAAATTAGTCTTATTGAATGACCATTGGAAGAGATTAAAACATTAGAACGTCAAAGTTTAAAAAAATCATTGATTTTGAGTGGACTGATAAAAAAAATCCAATTTAAGACAACAAAAAATAGTTTTGATAGACATTTACAATTACGAAAGATGGGTCATAGCTTAGTTTTGATAAAATTAATTAATTGATATATTATTATTGTTATATGTATTTTTGTGTTAGTATTGATGGTGTTTATATTTTACCTTCGATAAATGATATTTATTTATATATATAATTTTTTTAAGTTTTGAACTCTTTACATATATTTTATTATTTAATTGTTGGTTTGTGAACTATGATTTTGGTTTAATAATTCAGTAATGTGATTAATCTACTCTAATCTATATATATTTTTATCATATTTTTATTCAATAAAAATAACTGTTATTATTATCTAAAAAAATAAGAATACTTTAAATTAGGGAAAATAAGAATACTTTAAATTAGGAAAAATAATACTAAATACTTTTAAAATGATAAGATTCTCATAATATTATATAAACCGTTGAATGGTTATATTCCTGCATTTTGCAAAAGGGTGGGTCATGTAGCAAACAAACAAACTTATGGATAAAACGTCACGAAATTAAATAATTAAAGAGTTTGAAAAACTAATTAATCTAATACTGTTATATGTATTTGAAAGACAGAAGTTGCAAAGAAGAATTAATTGCTTCCTTTGCTAGTTTTAAAAAGCAATATGTATTACCACATATTTCTTATATTTGAGTAGTGAAAACAGTATTATTTTATGAACAGATGGCATGCTTCTTCAACCAAGTTTGCTAATATAAAGGAAGCAGAGGGTGGATCCATGTATATATAAAGAACAAGAGCATGGTGGGTTTTGGGGTCCAACACAGCTCATGTAACCACTAGGAGCCGAACCATTTACTAGCCATAAGTTGGTAGGACACAACAGCCATTATCCACATGTCTACTTTCTAAATTCTTTTGCATAAAACATCAATTATTTCCCCCTTTTTTTAATCATAAAAAAAACCATCAGTCATTTCAATAGTATAAGACACTAATTTCTCAGGAAATTTTAAAATATAACCTATTAATATAAGATTAAAAATAATAAAAATCGATTATAATTAAATAATTGTTAAAAGTGTAACTTTTTTAGATTAAACATGGTGATATTTTTTGTTTTTTTATGTATGCATTTATGTAACTATATTCGATTTATATAGTTTAAGCTAAAAATTATATAAATAATATTAATTTAGAATAAATAAAAATATTTTATGTTAAAGGCGATTAAGTTAATTGATTTCATCCTGAATTTTATTAATCAATTAAGTTGATTTATTTTAAGTTTTTATATAAACAATTTAATCATAATAATCGATTTAATTGAAACCGATCAAATTGTCTATTTATAGAAATTTTTTTCTCAACCTGAAAATACAATAAATAAATTTAATTTACCTATTTTTCTAAAAGTATAAAATAAAAATTAGATTATTTAGGGGATTTTTATTCTCAAAAGATACTCTAAAATATGAATTTAATGTTAAAATTCTTGCAAACTCTGCCTCTATTGTTACTTGTTTGCCCTATATACACAATTAAGTTAAATTAATTAGTGTAGCTCCACTTATGAAACAAAATATTATTGCCAATAACATCAATAATAATAATAATTAA